GGCCGGGGGGGTGTGGGGTGTTGGCTCACACCTGTTTGGAGGCTGTGGGGTCCCTGTTTGGGGGTTGAGTGGCTGGGGTGGGGGATTTGGGGGTCCTCTTTGGGGCCTGGGAGAGGTCCTGGAGCTTGGGGCCTCCCCCTCTTCTTGGGGTGGCTTAGGGGGTCTCCCCTGGTGCTCCCCCCTAGTCTGACTGCTGTGCGGGGATGCCAGCTAGAGCCTGGTGCTGGGCATGGCCTGGGGGTGCCGTCCTGGAGACCCTCCTCCAAAAGCCTTTGAACTTTGGGGAGGAGTGAGGGATACGTATATGTATTTATAAATATATATTCTTATATGGGTGTGTGTATTTTCTTAGAAAGCTTACTTGTTATGGGGTAGTGCTGCTCCCTGAGCTGTTTCACGGTGTAGGGAGACCAGTGTGCTCAGGCCCTTGTCTCCTGGCTATCGACGGGTCCCGAGTTACAGCTCTTGGGCTGTGTTAAGCTGTCCTGCCCAGGACTCCTTCCCCTTTTGCTTCGTACTGGGGTATCTGTAGATCAGCAGCGTAGCGAGCCCAGCGCTGCGAGGGTGTTTGCCTTCAGCACAAGTAAAACTGGTTTTCAGGAAAAATCGGTGGGATGTGATACGTGTGCCTGGGAACTGTGCAGGGGAGGTGGACCGAGGTGTCCTTTTGCTCGGGGAGGTGCAAGTGTGACTCCTCTGCGTTTCTCCTTCTGCTTTCTGGGGTGCCAGTGAGATAGCACTCTAAAAGAAATGGTGGGACAAGCTGTGTGTAGCAAGCAGGCTCGTCTGCATCTTGCATGGGAGCTGGACTGATGCTTGCTCCAAGCAAAACACTCCTGGAGCTTGGGAGAGACTCCAGCAGACGGAGAACGTTATTCTTCCTGTCGATGGAGCTGCTCTGCCCTGGTGACAACTCGTGGTCCTGAGCCCATGAAATCAGCCGGGGGTTGAGCAGTGGGTGCTGACGTGCTCTTGGTCGGTCCTGCTCTTCTGGGCTTAGACGGGTGGTGCAGGGAGCACGGTTAAACCACCTCCATCCCCTTGGGTAAGGAAGGGTGTTTGCCAGGAGTGCTGGGTGTTCCCAGCACCCAGAGGACTGGGCGTGGGTGCCGCCCCCCCCCCCCCAAATGACTAGGGAGCAATATATGGGTTTATTTGTGTCTTTTCAAACACTGCAAGTTTCTCCTAGTGCTTCTCCTGATAGACCTTGTCTCTCCTAGGTTGCTGGTGCTTGCGTGTGGTCAGCATGATCCCAGGTCATGGGCCGGTGATCCAGGCGGTGCTAGGGACGTGTCTCACCTGGGGCCTGACAGCAGCTGGCTCAGCGCTGGTGTTTGTGTTTTCCAGTGGCCAGGTGGGTGCCGGGATCGTTTGTTCTTTCTTCTGGGTGGTGAGCAGGATGTGGGGAAAAGGGCTGAGCTTTACTTCTCGTCTTTGGGCTTGGCTGCCTGCTCCAAAGCATGAGAGACCTTAATTTGGCCCTGAGAGTTTCTCATGCCTGAGGAGGAAAGAACCCAGAGTAATTATCTTGTATGTCAGAACAAAAGAGGAGAACTAAATCAAGTTCCTAACCCGAAGCTGTAGTATGTGGTGCAGTAAACCATGCTGCTGTTATAATACTTGAAAAGAGTGACACATGAGGGACACTGAGAGTTGTCAGTCACGTGTGGCTCAAAAAGCTTGGTAGATGCTGACTTAAAAATTCATCTTTGGTGTAGTGCAACAGGGCAGAGTTGCAGGCTGGTATGTGTGTTTAGAGCAGCAGGCTCTCTTCCTTGTAGCCTATTTTTACTTCCACTTCTCTAGTGTGGATCTAGGTCAATCCATGCTCTGGGTTGAGCCAGGCAAGGTTTTGATTTTTAAGTTATCTTGCATTCCAAAATTAGAGGCCCACATTGCTGTTATGTGCAAAATTGTCCTGATGCATTTATTATTTATGTCTCTCTCTTTTGATGATTTATGCAGGAGTTTTTTGCAAAGTGAGATTCCCTTTGCAGTAGTGTGTTGACTTTCCCTCCTGGGGGAGGGCAGTGTGTTAAAGAAGTAACAGTGAAAAACTGTGATGGGAATGAAGCAGGCAGGATATGTGTTGGGTTACTGAAAGCCTAATGGGGGTGTGAGTCAGGACACTCCAGTTTCCCACCTCACTGTAGGCTCTCTGTGATGGTGGAGTAGCATCTCTGCACGAGGAGCGTGGTGGCACGACTCTGTCTCTTGAAGCATGGCATGTCTTGCCTCAAAGCACAGCAATCACTTGGATTGCAGTAATGGGGAGAAGAAAGTTATCCTACTGTGATACCAAAGGAAGTGACTTCCCTTTATGCTGCTGAGTGGCATGGTTGCAACTCTGCTTGTTTTGCAATAGGTAAATGATGTGTTTTCTGTTACTTTTTTTTTTCCAGAGGCGGATCCTCGATGGAAGCTTAGGCTTTGCTGCGGGGGTGAGTACAGCATCCTTTTTCTGCTAATCATCTCTGCATGTGTCTTCCTGCTGACATCTCCTCAGAAGCCCCTCCATGCTTCGTTTGGTTGCCCACTTGCATTAGTGTTTCATGTATAATTGTCTGAGGTGCGTTTATGTTGCATGAGGCAGTGGAGGAATGTGCTGCAGTCTTGGTCACGTCCTGTCACGTCTCAGTGCCTCCTTGGTGAGGGTGGAGGTGGTGCGAGATGGAGTCACGTGGATGTCAACCTGCCAGAGCTGGATTTTGTTCTCAAGTTGAACTATTCTCATTTCCTTGGACTTTTGAATCATTCCTCTTGGAGCATTTGTGTGCGATTAAGATGGGCAGAAGAGCCCTTGCCCTGGAGGCTAATGCACATAGCTCACTTGATGCTTCTTGCTCTCCTGCAAAGCTTGGATGCTTTAAACTGTTAGAAGGAGGGGGAACAAAGACACTGGGGCTCTAAATCAAGGGCGTAGAGTAAACCTAATGCTTGTTACATCTTTCTCTAAAGAAGTGAAACTGTGTGGCGTGAGTTGTGGTTTGACATTGTGATGGGGCTTGTGAATGTAGAACCTCCCCTACTGCCCGAACTCCAGGGAATCTGTGAGCAAGTGGAGTCTCATTCAGAGTCAGTGTGTCACATTTATTTTTCTTCAGGTGCTTGAGCGTATCTGAGCAGCTGGATGGTCGGGGAGAATAGTCTCTGGCTGTCAGAGCCTGGTGGAAGGCACTGTTCTCTTCCCCTGCAGCGTTGACGTGTCTTGGTGACCTGCCTGCGTGCAGCCTTGCTGAAATACCAGTGCCAAACTTGTCAACATGTGATGGCTTTAAGAGGGTGAATGCTCCCTGGTAAAAAGCCCTGAGGGAGGAGGAGGTTTTTTCTTGTTTGTTTTGTTTTTGGCTTTGCTGTGTACTGATACAAGGAAGGAGCTGAGATGTGCTGTGCTCCAGGACGCTTCCTGTGGGAGTTAGCCACAAAGAGGGATTTCTGGAGTAGCTTGGCAGAGGGTGCTTGGCCTTCCCCTGTGTGCCAGGTCTGCTGTGCGTGCTGTGCAATCCCTTGTTGACCGAGCAGAGGGTGGAGGGCGTTCTGGCATGACTTCCCGGCCCTGCGGTGTGTCCCTCTGCACCACACCTCCCCGGCGTTTCTGTGGCAGGTGTGTCTGGACGCCAAGGGAAGGGCTCTGCCAGGTCCCGCTCGCTGTGTGTCCTGGTTGTGTAATCGGCACCTGGAGCATGGAAAACGCTGCCAGGCTGCAAGATGAACCAAAAGCCTGTTTGTTTGGCAGCACGGGTGATCTGTCCTGCAGTGTTTAGTAACTCTGCTGATGCCAAAAGTGTGTGTGGAGCTGGACTCCTTGCCCTGTGCATCTCCCCATATGCTGGAACACCTTTGATCGGGGCAAAGCCTGAATGTTTGGAGACCGGAAGACCATAGGTCTTTTGCTCTTCCAAGAGCCTGAAGCAAAACCAACTGTATTAAGCAAGAGTCTGCTTTAGTGAGTAAGGTAAAACACAGTTTGCTTCCAAGCAAGTTCTTCTGGAGCGCGTCTGTGACCTGCTAATGATGTGACTAGTTCAGTTCATCTCTTGTAACAGATTCTCAGGTTGTTTTTATAAATGAAACATTTGTGTTTTGAATTGTCTAGTCCAGAACTTTCCTCTGCTGTTTTATTTCCATGCTGTTTTCCTTCAGAAGACACACCTGGGTCTGGGACCAACCCTCATCCCTTACAAGCCCCGCAGAGTTGCTTCTGTGAAGAGTGTGATGTTGGGGAGATGCTGCCGGGGCAGCACGAGCTGAGCTGTCCCCCTTCCCCGCACCCACGTGGTGGCATCGCTGTCCCACCGCGGCAGGCGCGTCCATCTCACTGGTGGGGAGGGGAGTACCTCTGCATGGGACGTGAGCTTGGCACTGTGGGGCTTCTGCGCTAGCCAAGGGCTGGCTCGGGAGCTGCTGCTCGCAAGCCGCCCTGCGGTGACAGCCCTGCCCCAGGCCCGGTGGGGAGCAGTGGGAGTGCTCTTGGTTGCAGCCTTCTCCAAACACCTGTGTCTGCCCAGCCAGGAGGCCTCCTCAAATGGTGGAGGTGTAGCTCAGGTGTTAAGGCAGAAGTCGTATAAACCCCTTTTTTGCCCAGCTTCCTTGGATTTATATTATATTCAGAACAGGAAAGGGGAAGCTTTCTAAGGTTGCTTCACTGCCTGGAAAGGAACGCCAGCAAGGAAATCCTATGGGTGACAGGGTCCTGCTGGTAGCACGTGCTGCTACAAAAACTGCCCACAAAGCTCCACTTTGAAAAGTTCTAGGTAGTGTTTACAGACCTGAGCTGCTGAAGTAGGTGCTGGTTACGGCAAGCTGCTCTGTGCAGCCGTGCTCTGATGCTGAGAGGCCAGGACCAGCTCCTTTAGAGGAAGATGCCAGGGAGATCCAGGCATCTCTCCGCGTGGATTGAGGGGGATCGTACCTCTGTTGCTGCATGGGTCAACGCAATTGCTAGGAGCAGGTCTGTGCTCAGTGTTTAGGTAGTGCTGGTAGCAGTGACATGGCAAAAGCATCAGAAGTTAGAATTTTATCTTTCTTTTAGCTAGATCTGTTCTGCATGCGCCCATAGCTCCCTGGCCCTTGTTTGACAGGGGACTGAAACACCTCCCTCCGAAGGCTGCTCTCAACCCTGCACCTTTAAAACTTCCTCTGTGCAGCTGCATGTTGTTGAACATGGGTATGTTGGTCGGTGCCCCAGATAATGCACCTGAATCTCAGCATTGATTTTTCTCTTTCCGGCTGGGCAGTGTTGCAATGACTTGACTGGCAGCCCGACGGCTGCCTCTGGGGGAGCAGGAGACAGGCCTGATGGGTGAGGAGCCCTTCGGGACGAGCTCTGGCCTTGCAGGGGGAGGAAACGGTGCCGGTGTGGTGTTGTGTGGCTGCTGGTTCTGCTGCTGGGGAGCCCTCGATGAGGGGAAGACGCAGGTGGGGAGCGAGGGAGGACAGAGCAGAGCGTGGCTCACAGCGCGGAGGTCCTGCGTGCCAGCAAGGGGCACAGTGAGTCCTCTCCTGACTCCAGTATTGCCATGTCCCTACCTAGTCCTTACCTGCAAGGGTTTAATAATGCCTGAGGCATTTTCTGGAGGCAGGAAAACTGCTAGTGACTTGTGTGCTCGGTGGCTTTGCAGAGAGCTGGTGAAGAAGCCGGAACTGAAATAGTTTTCTGCTCCGGCCTTTGAGAGCAGGGCCTTTCTGGGGAAGGGCTTGTGGCCAAGCTTCATAGCTCCCTACGTGCTTGTGGGAAGGGGGACGGGATGGGGGGACAAGAAACTGGGGCTAAGCGCGCCTCAAGCATATGGTTGACCATGCCAAAGATGCAAGCACTGGTTATGGGGCAGACCTGTGCTACCCGGGTCTCCCCATGGGCCGACCCCTTTGGGTGGCTCTGAGGAATGTGTGACAGGCTGTGCCACCATCTAGCCACGAGCCCGACGGGACCTGCTGGGCAGCGAAACCCTCCCGGCCAGCAGACGAGGCCGCGCAGCTGGAGGAGCTCCGGCTGGCTGGGATGAGAGGCCGCTTGGTGCTCCTGCCTCCTCCGGGCTCGCGTGGTGGGGCCGAGGTCAGGTATGACTGCAGGAACGACACAGGCTCTTTGTACGTGTTGGCAGGCTTTCCTCCGATAGAAGAGAAAACAGGATGTGGAGCAGCCTGTTTTGAAAGCTGTTTGTACTATTTTCACTCTTTTTCCTCCCTGTAGAAAGTGTTTCTTCAGACTGCCCTTGCTGTGATATTGCTCTCATCATGGACTGCTCCGTTGCCGTAAGGATTTTTCTGTCTGAAACACTGCATTGTCTTTTATGTAAATCTTGGGCAAATACGTACAAATATGTATTCTGCAAACACTGGAATAGACAGAGGCAAAACTTGACTACTTCTCCTCTTTATCTGTAATATCAGTTCTTTGAAATCTGATCTGCTATATTTAAACTCCCCTTTTGTTCTGTCAGGGCTAGCAACCCTCCTTTTTCTGTGCTTTCAGAGACAGGTAGGCTTCTCTAATCCTGCTCTTTTGGTGTTTAGCTCAGGATCTCTGACAGTGCTCTGGTTTCCAGGGGATGTGTGCATGATGCTGTCCTAGCGATCAGGTTTGCTTGTGAAACAGTTGAGTTCGGGTGCTTGAAATCCCTTACATGCAATGTTTTGTGGTCTTCTCAAAATAATGTTATAGTGGATAGTTACCAGAAGAAATTATTTGTCTGCTCATCTTTGGGAGCTTTCATAGTATAATAAAACCAGAACTCTTTTTTAAAAAGAAAAAAAACCCCTTTACTACTACCCAAGCAGGAGGGGAACGTGGCACAGGGACTTGCAACAGCCGGTGAGGAGGATGGCTGGGCACGTAGAGCTCTAGCTCGAGCTCTGGAAAGCCAGGGCTCAGCGCTGCCTCCTTGGCAAATGTGCCGTCTAATCTCGGGTGAGCCTGTGTAAGCTCAGGACCACGGTCAAATCACCATGACTTAATGAGTTAGGGCTTATCAGGAGAGCTGCCTGCGTGCTCGGAGAGCGTTGCAAACGCCAAGTGCATTTGCTTAACCCCCTTTTGGTAGGGCTGAAGCCAGCTGTGTTTGATGGCATGCGTGTTATCTCAGGCGGAGGGTGCCCACGTGGCTGGGTACGGTGGCTTGGCTGATGCTCAGCGTCCTACCCCCCGGTAACTCCTCTCGGGTATCTGAGTATTTAGCTTCTTTCTGCCTTGGTTGCTTCTCTGGAAACTGGGGATAATGTAAGGTTTGTATGCGAAAGCCTCTGAGATGCTCTGTTTCCATGGAGATGAGACTTCAGTTACTTGGGCATCTGATGTGGAATTCTGGCTTTTCTCTTAAATCTTGATATTCTAAAAAAAGCTTTTATTTAAGATGTTCTCTATTTTCATGGATTTATCCTGGAGGTGCTGCGCTCTACTCAGACATCAAGAGGAAGAAGCCTGTGTTAACACTCATGGTCC